CGTCAGGATGTTGGCCACTAACCCACCGAGTGTTGAAATATGGTTCTAGCACCATATGCCAGACAGGCTAATGTCATAAAAGCGTCCTTGACTTTCTCTAATTCCCATACACACACACGAGGCAGGTGAACTGCCTTGAGGTCATGTCCTTGAACTCTGTACCGATTCCGCTAACAAGGAAATTGTGGTGGCGAGTATTCACATGAAAAAAAAAACAATTTTTTTTTTTTCACAGCGGAACAAATAATTCAACACAACATACTGAGGCTCTTCGTTTGGAAACATATTTATTTTAGCAGTATTTCCCAGTAATAAAATAAATACAAAGTTGTTAGCAGTTTTTCTTATGTACATAACAAAAATTCAATGAACGCAATTGTTTGATAATAAGCAGTCTGTGCAGAAAATACATCTCTTTTACAAGAACTCTGTTAAAGCAAAGTTACAACGGATCTGTAGAAAACAGCGAACAAATGAGAATAAACAGGACAAATAAAGTGGTGTGTTGTTACTTGCAAGCAGACTTGACCAGATGTTGGTCGGTGGCTACGATACTGGAAGCTAACATGGCGTAGCTGTTAGAGAGCTCTCCTGCTGAGACAGTGGTAGTGGATCTATCCCCCAAAAACCTACGTACTTGGGGTGCTAGCAATCTCGTAAAAAAGCACAAATAGCAGTCACTGCGACTGGACTACCTTAACTTTGCAAACACACAAAACACCAATAGGTAGGTTTGTCGTGGCAGGTTTGTTGTGGCAGGTTTGTCGTGGCAGGTTTGTTGTGGCAGGTTTGGCGTGGCAGGTTTGTCGTGGCAGGTTTGTCGTGGCAGGTTTGTCGTGGCAGGTTTGTCGTGGCAGGTTTGTCGTGGCAGGTTTGTCTCTGGCAGGTCTATATAGTAAGTTTGTAGTGGTTTGTTTGTTGTTTGTTTTAGTATCCAGAAGCCATGAGTTGTTAACCCTTAGGCTCGGTATTATGGATATCGCAACCTTTCAACCTAGATTCCATTGTAAATACCGTAAATCTGGGAGAAATGTGGCTTTTCTGCCTACCCCCGGGATTGAACCTTGATCACAAGGAGTTCTTCACCCGACCACTGCGCAATCCAACAACGCTAGAGAGCCGGGCGTAGTGGTAAGTTTGTAGTGGTAGGTTTGTTGTGGTAGGTTTGTCCAGTCAGGTTTACTTTGGCAGATTTCACGTCAACAGTATGTTATAATAGATGTTAGTTGCTTGATTGACATGAACTCAGTTTTAAAGGAGAGATATTCTACAAAGAAAACTATCATGTGGCGTACGTAGATCTGGCATCAACATTTCAGCTAGAGTAATAAAATACCGGTCTCATGACCTTCGAGCAGCTGTAGGAGAGACTAGGGCCTTGCCAATTAACGTTGACTAAACCAGCATTAGTTGCAAATATTCACTACAGTCAACCGCCATTGTGGAGGTAAGTAAAGCAAAAGTAAAAAATAAAGGACCCTTTTCCAAGCCTTTAGGCGTATAGGGCATATAGGGCTAGACTTATATTTTTATGGACCAATCGGCACCAGATGGGTGATGTAGTCAACATCCCGCCGGCCGCCTCTACTTCCCGGGACTACACCCGGTACCCACTCAAGGCTGTTACGACCTGAGATTGTGGAGGTAGTATCAAAGTAAATCTTAGAACTGAGAGAGAAATTAATTAGACCAAAGGTCTTGGTCCCAACATATGGGACTTATACAACCTGTCATCTCCTTGTTGGATGCCATTCTTCGTTATCTAAAGCCCTACTCTGACTCTTGCCAGGGGCCGCAATATAGCCCGGCCATAAATATGTTCTAATGGCTAAACGCGGTTTCTGGGACCTCTCTACGGTGATCCTCACCCACGTGGTGGCACTTTGTGTCGTCGGGTGTTTATCGCGTGTGGGATGTCCTGGTGGGGTAAAGGAAGATTGACAGATAGACATATGGGACACACATCTTTACAATTACAAAGAAATTATGTCATCTAGAACCCAACTTGAAAGTAAATGTAATTACTTTCAAACAGACATGTAATCTAAAACCCCAACTTGAAAGTAAATGTGATTACTTTCAAACAGACATGTCATCTAGTACCCAACTTGAAAGTAAATGTGATTACTTTTAAACAGACATGTCATCTAGAACCCAACAAGAAAGTAAATGTGATTACCTTTAAACAGACATGTCATCTAGAATCCAACTTGAAAGTAAATGTGATTACTTTTAAACAGACATGTCATCTAGAATCCAACTTGAAAGTAAATGTGATTACTTTCAAACAGACATGTCATCTGGAATCCAACTTGAAAGTAAACGTGATTACTTTCAAACAGACAAAAGCGTCCATGTATATGGCTAAATTGCTACTGCAAACAGAAATTGTTTGAGCACAATTAAAAAAAAAAAAGATCAGCTCTAATAGAAGCAGTATTTCACACCATCACTATGTATGCAGTATGTCTGTGACAAATGCGGTATGAATGTACTGATTTTACTGATGTTTTGATTTAGGAATCTACACCATGACACACCTTGCATACCAGTAGGTGCCCCGTCTCCCGCAGCAAATCTTTAAAGGTGTAGATGACAACTGTTGCCTTGCACACCGATTATACACACGTCGTTCTCTTTCTCGAATGTCTCATTTGACTATTACGAGAATTCCTTTTCGCGTTGACATCCAGAATATTCGCCCTTTCATTTCCCCACACTCCTGCATGCCCATGTCGGTACACCTACGTAAGTCCTTGTAATGATGACGCGTTAATATTGATATCCACTAATGCCTCATTTGTCCGTTTATAAATTCCGAGGTACCGACTGAGAATCAGTCACTGTAGTTCTCTGGTTTCTCTGTTTTCTGTTATCCACTTCAGAGATGCAGTGATTGCCTCCACCTCCATCCTCGTGCATAAAGTTGTTTATTAAAGAAAAAGAAAAAAAAAAAAAGCTCAATTTTGTTCTGCCTCGATCTTTTCATTCACTCTAGATAAATATCTCGAGCCAGATTCTTGGCCCGATGAACCGTATACACTGCTGCGTCATCTAGCCTAGCGTTGTCATCTATCAGTGTAAACCTGGAAAACAATTAACAACAACAACAACCACACTGTGAAATAAGGGGCGAGGTTTAACAAACGTATACTGAAGCATTCTTAGCATTGCCAAAATGGGCAACCAACACGGTTTCAATCAAGTTAAGACCTAAAATCAATTTGCATCAGACACAAGAAAGAGATACCAGTCATTCTTTGATTCCTCGTAAGGTTTTCAGAGCCTGATTTTGAAATTGATTATCAGAACGTGCTTTCGGAGGATACAAAGAAAAAGGTCACATTTGGTCATAATGTGAAAATAGAAAAACTGAAGCACTTAACGACCAGAGACTAACAGAAAGACGCAAAAGATAACAAGAGGAGATTTCGACAGCCTTTAATCATGACACAGAAAGGTGTTGGCACATGTACATACATTTGGAGACTACACTATGTGTAAAAGCACGATAGCCCACCAACCCCTTTAAGGCACTTGATGTTAATGATAAATGAAAATAGTGAAAAGACAGTATATCGATTTATAACGATTGTACAACTATCTGAATATGATAGTGACCTATTGTTAACGCGGTTTTTTGAATTTCCTATGGACGAGCACCCACTTGCAACGAACCTTGGCTTTCAGTGTATCTGCTTTCGCCACGATTCGGCTTTATATGATTACTGCAACGTAGCTACTTCCACTGCTCTTCGTCAAGGATTGATAACACAAACGGCTCTCAGTTCCTTGATAAATTTCCGTCAGTTTATTCTGTCACATTCTTCCACGATGTACTAACAATTATTCAAACATTTACGAATTATTTACAAGACTTTGAAACTACACCTCCTAACACTACAACTGTTTTCCTCGACTTCTGGTAAGCAACTGACCACGAATCCACCTCGGACTTTCCCTCGTTTACCGTTCAGCCCCGAGTCTCTCCTGCGGTCGTTTGTGGCACGGATTTTCTGCTTGATTTGCTGTGAGAATGGAGACCACGCAAAGCACCTCATCACAGTGCTTGTAACACCCATTTTCTAACAGTGGTACCATTCCTATATTACCGCCAAACCTATGAAGATGGTCGGTGTTGTCAGTGTGAGGAAGGCTGCGAGAGGAAATACCTCCATTCCAGCTCATTCTGGTGGAAAGTCGTAAATGTGAGCACTTGATATCTACATAAATAGAGACTTTCAGTTTAAAAAAGCACATTTGCGTACTGTGTGGCTGTAAGAAAGCATAGGATGATTGGACCACACGGATGTTGGCTGATGAAGTGACCCGAAGTCTGGAAACATCGCTAGGATTAGCAGAAAAGTCTGTTCAATGTCAGAAAGGCGAAGGGTTGAAGAAATCCCCGAGAACCGGCTACAAAATCTGGTTAATGAAATAGCCTCATTACTGATTCACAGTTATGTGGAAAACGTCTACAACGGTGCCATTTCTATGCTGACTACACAGAACTAATAATTAGTACTAAAGAACATGCTTTCACACACACACACACACACACACACACACACACACACACACACACACACACAAGGTCAAAGTTCAGTATTAAGGCTCTCGTTCATCAGTGCAGTTTTGATACGTATGTCAGGTCTCAGCGATTAAGCAGTCTGGATATTTCCTTGTTTTTTAAATTTTTTTACAGGCATCGATTTTTCTGGACTCGACGGAAAGTTGATGTAAGGCGTTTCTCCCTCCGTAGCGAATACATCCCTACCATGAGAACGTTTAACAGTGGTAACGAGCATTGAAGAACAGGCCATTAACATTCGTAATATGGGAAAGAAACAACCCTTCTACTGCCAGCTGATGACATGCCACACAAGGTCTCTGTTGCTCATCAGTTGTACACATCTCTTCCGGATGTTGTCTGTCAAGTTTCCCATCTGTCATAGGGGTAGTAGGCACCCAGAGTTGGGGTCATATGACTGGGATGTCTGTCAAGTTTCCCATCTGTCATAAGGGTAGTAGGCACCCAGAGTTGGGGTCATATGACTGGGATGAGGAGGCATATGGTGATTAGGAATGTTATGGTAGAGGTTCGAACCCGGACTTCCAGGCCAGTATCCTGCGTGTGGAGAGAACAATGCAGGCGGTGTGGAGTTGTTTATTGGTGAGCGAGGGTTGAGGTAGTTAAGTTTCTGGTTGTGGGCATGATGATGGTGATGGTGATGGTACTGGTAAGTGGACATCAAGAAATCTTGCTGGTATTTATAAGCCGAAGGGTCAGTGGAGGACGGCTGCATGGCTTGAGCCAGACCAGCAAAGTCAAATTTGTAAGCGTACCGTTTGCCGTGCACTTTGGTCATAATGTTCTTATCGTAGTAGTAGCGAAGAGCCCGGCTCAGTTTGTCATAGTTCATGTTGGGTTTCGACTTGCGCTCCCCCCAGCGACGAGCTACTTCGTCAGGGTCGACCAGTTTGAATTCGCCGTTGGTGCCCTCCCATGTGATACAGGCGGCGTTAGCGGAGTCCGAGAGTAGCTCCAGCAGGAACTGCCAGAGCTGGATCTGACCCGAACCTGGCAGAATACAAGAATACAGGATCAGTTAAAACTTGTGTGTGTACATGTGTGTGTGTGAGTGTGTGTGTGTGAGAGAGTGCATGTGTGTGTGAGTGTGTGAATGTGTGTGTGTGTGTGTGTGTATGAGTATGTGTTTTGTGTGTTTGTGTGTGTTATAGATAGTGCAGGCTGTATTCTTGCTATCTGATATACAACTACTCAGACATTTAGAAGCAAATACAAAATAAAAATAAAACAGGCAGAGATGATATGAGGTGGGACGTGAGGATTGGAGGGTGGGGGGGGGGCGGTGAATGGAGAAGAACACACAGAAACTGTATTTGAAGTTGAAGAAGAAGAAAAACATTACTACTTGAAATAGAAGATTGGTAGTAATAACAGTTAAGGTTAGTTGCGTATCCTTTACAGGACGTTGCAGAACCAACTCCAGCAGTCCCTGGCTGTTGTGTGGTTTTTCTAGGCAAATTTACGTCCAGTAGTTTGCCATTGCTTCGTGGACGGTCGGCTTTCTTGATACCACTGTCGAAACCAACGCAAGGCGCATAGCCCGCAGCTGGGATCAAACCCGGCATCCCGGCATTATTTAGCCTTCTCATCGACTTAGCCACAGAGCCGACTTGTGTATGGAGTACTTCATATATTTTTTTTCTAGCGACATAAAAGAAACATTGGAACATGAGTGATGACGAATGAGAAGTCTGGATTAGTCATTAATTCTGGCAGCAGTCCAGTAGTGGTCAGCTTGGGGCTAAAGCACAGAGACTACAACAGCCCAAGTCCCTACAGCGTCTTCAAGTGACGGCTGCCCGGCGCAATATTAAGAAATGTTTCTTGTGGGCTCATCGATTACTCGTGGCTGCAAGCTAATGACCCGGGCTCAGCCTCTTAACCAGCAAGCGTCAGCGCCGAATCAAAGAAAAACTAAACCGTGTTAGGGTTTGTGACTGGGAGGGTGTGAGGAGGTGTTTGCTAGAGTGTTGAAAGATCCCGACCTTGCGGGAACTGACGGCAAAGAACCTCGCAGGCTAATCGATCAAACACACAGGCTCCAGCTGAAAGAGTTAATTCTTGTTGTGTCACAGCACCAACAGATTTAACGAAAAACAAATATATAACCACGTGACAACTTGCACTTAAGTGTTTATTTATTAAACCGCCCATAGTAGCGTCTGGTCAACTCTAGCAACACTCTCCGTGCTCCGTGTAGATGTTTGAGGCGGGGACTTTCTAATCAGATCTTATCATGAATAACATTGTAGTTTCCTTGAATATGCTTCGTAATGCCGGGATGCCGGGTTCGATCCCAGCTGCAGGCCATGCGCCTTGTGTCGGTTTCGATAGTGGTATCAAGAAGCCGACCGTCCAGACGCAATGGCAAACTACTGGACGAAAATTTGCCTAGAAAAATCACACAACAGCTAGGTGCTGTTAGGGGTTGGTTCTGCAACGTCCTGTAAAGGATACGCAACTAACCTGCCTTAAATATGATCTTATGATCTGCTATGTGTTTTACAGTGGCCCGTTTAGGGAAAACTAGATCATCATCATCAAGTAGCAGGTCCTTTGCAAAACGTCGCTCTCATCACGGTCTGCCTGAAAGAAACTCAGTCTCACGCCAGTTCTCCCGCCTCATGTACTTTCATACTCAAGGAGTCACTTATATCCTGTGCCCATCTTCGTGTCGGTCGGCTCCTGCCCCTCCTTCCTGGTACCATGCCTTCTGCTATAATTTTTTCCAATCCGTCGTGGCGCTTGATATGACCAAAATATTTCAGCTTCCGAGACAGCGTAAAGAGAATAGAAAATGTAATATTGTCTGTTAAAAAGCCCATTAAGACCCCTAGTAAGCATGTCGTAAGGGTCGATTTATTAGGGACATGTCTTTTTAAGTCGGTATGCATCTGACCAGTCAGCTCTGTGGCTAAGTAGATGCGAACGCTTCGTAATGCCGGGGTGCCGGGTTCGATCCCATCTGCGGGCTATTCGCCTTGCGTTGGTTTCGACAGTGGTATCAAGAAAGCCGACCGTCCAGAGAGTAATGGCAAACTACTGGATGTAAATTTGCCTAGAGAAACCACAAAACAGCCAGGGGCTGCTGGGGTTGGTTCTGAAAGGTCATGTAAAAGATACGCAACTAAAAAGAAAAAGAAAAGATGCATTTGACCGAGAGTCGAGGACCTAACAGTCTGCTTATATATGACCCAGATCTATAAAACGGAAATGCACGCAAAATTCAGGATCTGAAACAAGACTTAAGTCCATAGGTGGACGAACAGCTAGAACGTTTATCCGTCGTTTACAACTGACCGAAAAAGGAGAAGATCTCATAATGAATAATATATTGGTTTTTGTGAAGAAGATCTCATTGTGAATACCAGTTTCAGAATTATTATATAGTATCGGAAATAGTTCCGGAATAGGGTTGCCACCAATTTTGAGCGGATCATAACTGGTCATATCAAGCGCCACGACGGATTGGAAAAAAATTATGGCAGAAGGCATGGTACCAGGAAGCAGGGGCAGAGGCCGACCAACATGAAGATGGGCACAGGATAAAAGTGACTCCTAGAGTATGAAAGTGAATGAGGCAGGAGAACTGGCGAGAGACCGAGTTTCTTTCAGGCAGACTGTGATGAGAGCGACGTTCTGCAAAAGACCTGCTACATGATGATGAATCAGAAATAGTATTTTCTTGAATGAATAAATCTCGTTACTTTAACATTTCATGAAAAAAGGTCCAATACCGAAGCAGGCCTACATGACTACCTAGTAAACGGATACCACTTTCTTCAATGGCTTAGCCTTATTATGGATAACATTGTCCTTAATGATACGATTTTGCAATTAGTGATAATCGGTTGCAAGTTTAGGTCTAAAATATTTTATTTGGACTGGTAATTTTAACTTCTTACGGATAATATGTTAACGATACTAACATCTCATAGCGTATACGTTTGATAAAAAGTTACATATGTCTCTCGCGAATCGCGAATGATGTCCCCCCCCCGCCCCCCCCCCCGCGCCCCCTCTCCTTAAGGACAACTGATTCTATTAGGAGTCGAATCAAGCATAAGCGTCTAAGTCGTCTGCCTGAAGTCTCAAACACAATAGGCACCCATACTTCCCACGAGGTGTCTAAATGAGCCACAAGCTACATTAAAGAGATACCAGTACTCCCCACAAACTATCTAAAAGAGATACGGGTACTCCCCACAAACTATCTAAAAGAGATATTGGTACTCCCCACAAACTATCTAAAAGAGATATGGGTACTCCCCACAAACTATCTAAAAGAGATATGGGTACTCCCCACAAACTATCTAAAAGAGATACCGATACCCCCCCCCCCCCCTAACCCTCACAATTAACTAAATGAGATACCCTTACTCCCCACAAACTATCTAAAAGAGATGCCAGTACTCCCCATAAATTATCTAAAAGAGATGCCAGTACTCGCCACAAACTATCTAAAAAAGATACGGGTACTTCCACAAACTAGCGTAGCTTTTTGTATTATGTCAATCCGACAAATCCCCGCCCCCTTCCCCCCCCCCCCAATATCTCTCTCCCTCGCTCTGTCTCTGTCTGTATGTCTCTCTCTCTCTCTCTCTCTCTCTCTCTCTCTTCACTTATATATATATATATATATATATATATATATATATATATATATATATATATATATATATATATATATATATATATATATATATATATATACAATTGAATCCTGAGTCGTTCAGTCAATGAACCTCTCTCTGGTTCACAACTGTCGCCTTCTTTTTCTTCTCTTGACTTCTTTGGTGGGAAAGAAATTATGAATTTTTGTTTTATTTAAATTCTTCGTGTTCAAATTAGAATACGGCTGTGCATGTGTGTGTTAGAGGGAGATATATATACATATATAATATAACAAAAAATCTCATCCTAAAAAGGACTAAACTTGGATCAGACAGTAAATGTGAGGACGGGCACGACGGACTTATAAGCAGAATGCCACTGGTACCACCGAAATTGGCACTGTGCGCTCTGCTGGCGAGGACGAGAACAGACCATTTATGGGAACGTCCCGAGTGCTGAAAGGTCAATTTTTGAAACTCAACTCAACTAAAATACAAGATAGAATTGAGATGGATCACATATCGCAGCCGTCACAAAGCTGTCAAATTTAGTGACGAAAATGGAATCAAAGCAGGCAGGTAACTAAAAAGGGGTGTGGGGGGGGGGGGGGAATAACAAAGAAACAAATATATATATATATATATATATATATATATATATATACATATATATATCCCTCTAACACACACATACACACACACACATGCACAGCCGTATTCTAATTTGAACACGAAGAATTTAAATAAAAAAAAATTCATAATTTCTTTCCCCCCAAAGAAGTCAAGAGAAGAAAAAGAAGGCGGCAGTTGTGAACCAGAGAGAGGTTCATTGACTGAACTACTCAGGATTCAATTGTCTGCAAACATCAGAGCTTGCCGTCACCGAGGCTTCTGTTGAGGATCGCCATTAAAAGCTTTTTCAAATATGGCTTTCGTTGCGCTTCCGGTTGCTTCTAGCGCCGCTTCCTGCTCACTGTTTCAAAGAGAGGCTATTGTGAAAAACAAAAATTGATTGGCCGCGGACAAGCTCAAGTGAGGCTTCTAAGGTTTCAGGGATCAGAGCTAAAATATCAGTTTTAGAGAAGGTTGCAGTTATTTACTGGCAGCGGGGTATTAGACGGCTGAGTGTAAAACAAACATATTGTCATGGTGGTGCGACTGAAGTCTGTAGACCTGCTATTGTTCAGGCTGGGATATCTTTCTGTGGCATATCTTGTGAGCTTGTTCCTGGTTACCTACCACACATGCTAACGAGAAATATACTGCTAACAGCAACAGAGACTCTACTTCTTCTTCTATCCGTTCTTTATATTAACATCACTAGTTGTGTTGTGTCGGCGTCTGTGGCTTAGACGTTGCAAACGCGCTTCGTAATGTCGGGGTGCTGGGTTCGATACCTGCTGCGGACGGTTTGTCTTGCAATGGTTTCGACCGTGGTACCAAGAGCCGACCACCCAAAAAGCAATGGCAAACTAAATTTGCCTAGAAAAACCTCAACAGTCACCAGAAAGTGCTAGGGTTGGTTCTGCAATATCCTGTAAAGGATACGCAACTAAAAAAAAAAAATGTTGTGTTGCATTTGTTTACACTTGGCTGGAATTTTTGATTCTTTTCGATTTCTGTTTGTTTTTGCAACTAGTCTACTTCTATAAACTTCACATAAGCTAAGCTTTCCGTGGCTGTGTGGCTCAGGTGGGTTCCTGTCACGAACTAAGTTGTTCCGATGAAGATGCCGGGTTCGATCCCAGCTGCGGGCCATGCGCCTTGCCTTGGTTTCGACAGTGGTATCAAGAAAGCCGACCGTCCAAAAAGCAATGGCAAACTAATATACGTAAATTTGCCGAGAAAAACCACACAACAGCCAGGGGCTGCTGGGGTTGGTTCTGCTTGGCCATCAGGCAGACCAGGCGACTCTGATGAGAGAAAAATATTACAAAACGTTCTCAGAAAGTTACCTGCTAATGGGCGTTCTGCACTTCCAATGGTTACTGTCTGCTACGATTATTATGATTTATGTTATTCATTAAGGTTAAGTAAGTTTAGTTGCGTATCCTTTACAGGACGTTGCAGAACCAACCCCAGCAGCCCCTGGCTGTTGTGTGGTTTCTCTAGCCAAATTCACGTCCAGTAGTTTGCTATTGCTTCTGGACGGTCGGTCCCTGATACCACTATCGAAACCAGCGCAAGGCGCATGGCCCGCAGCTGGGATCGAACCCGGTACCCCGGCGTTACGAAGCGTTCGCATCGACTTAGCCACAGAGCCCACTTTTATTCATAATGCTATTTTAAAAAGAAAGATAGTTGAAGCAATGACAACAGTGAAGGGACAATGACGCGGGTTCAAGAACACTCACCTTGAGGTCGCCAGGGTGCATGGGCCGGGTCCAGTGAACCTTTGCTTAGCGGAGTTAACGAGTTGGAGTAACCTGTAGGGAAATAAACGACATGACGTCACATAGTCTTGTGTCTCACCACGTGCAGTAACCAGCCCCTGGTGTCCCTGTTAGAATTCAGAACCTAGTATTGTTATCTGGTGTTTTCTATGCTGGTATCTATGTATTTTTTGTGTCTCCTTGTTTGCTATGTTCATGCGTATGAGTAGTCTAAGAGTAATAAGAAACGTAGTTGCCGTTTTACAACACTTACGTGTTTGTTTATGATTAGGGCTTTTGACAACTGTGTTATTTTGTATTCTAGATTCTTGTACAACGATATCTAGGACAAAAAACAATAGAATATGATAACACGCTATATCTCGCATACATAGACCAAAAGACAAGCATTCGATTGGGTCATCTGTCAGCTACTTTGGAAAACACCAAGGGCCTATATTAGTCAGCATCTAGTACACACGTGTAAATCTATACATTACAATAGCCAAGCTACGGTGAGATTAAATGATGAAACGACAAAAAAAAAAATACTATTGACAATCAGGAGTACAACAGTGATGTCTTTTATACCCCCCCCCCCCCCGCCCCCACAATCCGAACCCCCCGCTATTTAGCAAATATATGTATGGGGATCAAATCACTAGAAGATCACATAATAACAAAGACAATAAGTGCATTTAAAATTTTCTTTCTTCAGGTGAACAAACACTAATGGCAACGAGAGAGGCAGAGCTGTCGCGAAACCTGGACAATCTCAACATTGCAGCAAAAGCACACAACATGAAAGTTAACATAAAAGATAGAAATAATGAGAAGTTAGGACCATTACAAGAACAAAACAGCAAATGAAGATATGCATGGAAAACAAGCAACTCAAGCAAGCAAAAGACTTCAGGTTTCTAGGGAGCACAATATTATCCAATGGAAAAATTGACACAGAAATAGAACACAGAGGCAATAAGGTAAATAAAGTCATTGGGCAGATGTCATCAATATTGCAGAACAAACATGTAACAATTGACACACACACACACATACACACACACACCACACACACGCGACGTCATACACAAAAACACATTTAATACATCATTTTTACCACAATTGTGTTACCAGTGCTAAACATGGGCATTAACTACAGGAAACAGACAGACCAAGGCAACAGAAGCGACATGTCTACAAGAAATCATGAATGCAATTAAAAGAGAGAGGATCAGAAATAAACACATCCGATATCAGGAAAAACAGACAGACCAAGGCAACAGAAGCGACATGTCTACAAGGAACCATGAATGCAATCAAAAGAGACAGGATCAGAAATAAACACATCCGATATCAGGAAACAATCTGGAACGGAAACTAGTACTAAACTACAACAAGAGACAACAACTGACATCGGACATCACGTGTCAAGGCTCCAGTGCAGACAGTGCAGCACACTCAGCCTTGTCACCGAGACACAATGGAAGTAAACCTTGAGGTCGACCACACAAGCCAGGGATAAATGGAACATCAGAGGCCGTAGATATCAGCATCTACGTAGCACATACCATGGCTCGCTCCCGGTGTCTCCTAAAAGCATGTCGCTGACAAGACAGAGCAGGGATAGAGAGGTAGATATCGAGGATATATCTGACATGTTGCTTTTTTCTTCTTCCATGCATCATCATATACAAGTAACATCAAAATTATGAACAAAACAACATATACTCTAACAGTGTTTTAATGTCATAGCAATAGTAATTACACCTATATTCCTGAGTCATCATCATTATAATCATAAACCACTTCTGACGTTAAGCGACGTGGGGAGGAATAATTTGCGATCCAGTGCACGTTGGCTGCCACTGGCTTTAGTCATGCCGTGAATTCGTAGAATGTCTTTAATGTTGTCGATCCAGTGCACGTTGGCTGCCACTGGCTTTAGTCATGCCGTGAAGGCGTAGAATGTCTTTAATGTTGTCGATCCAGTGCACGTTGGCTGCCACTGGCTTTAGTCATGCCGTGAAGGCGTAGAATGTCTTTAATGTTGTCGATCCATATTTTCCGTGGCCGTCCTCTTGCTCTTGTAGCCGATCTTTTGAGATGTAGTGCTTGTGATGGTATTTGATCTTGCTGCATTCTAACGAGATGGCCAAACCACTTGATCTGCTGTTTCTCGATGAATCTAGTACAAGGTGTCGTTCCCACCATTTAACTGATAGTTTCATTATCCACTCGATCTCGGATGGTTAGGTTGGCTTCTTTTCTCAGGCATCTCATCTCGCAGGTGTTGATTTTGCGTATATGAGCTTTAGATAGTGTCCATGTTTGGCACTGGTAGCCTTATTGTGGATGAATATGCTATTAATAATCTCTTTGCACTCATAGTTATGCTTGGATGTCTTAATAATGGTGACAATTGGTATATAAGTGCACTTGCTTTCTGACATCTGGTTTCTATTTCTCTGTCAATTCTACCATCTTCTGTGATCATGCTTCCTAGATATTTAAACTCCCTAACTTGATTCAGAGCAGAACCATTCAGCTGTATGTGTAGTTGGTGTTGACCATGTTCTCTTTGCCAACCATTATTGCTGTCTCTGTAGTGCAGCTGATCAAAACACAAACTCCAGTAGTCGGGGCTGTTTAGCAGAACCAGCATGGCTATGAGGAGGGGCTCAGTGTCATGTAATACTTCAAAAACCGATTCGTGGTTTGCACAAACACGACCTACAAGCATAGACCCCTGCTTATCACATAGGTGCGGCGTCCGTGGCTTAGACTTGTAATTCCAAACTACCGCGATCGAAACCAACTGCTGGCTGCGTGGATTTTTATCATGGTATAGAGCGTCGCAGGTCTACCCACCCTAAAATGGGTACCAGGATGGCAATCCTGGGGAAGTAAAGACGGCCGGCGTAATGCTGACTACATTACCCATCCAGTGCCGATAGGTCAGTAAAAATATGGGACGCTCTTTCCATATACCCGATGCGCCTAAAGGCGTAAAAAGGGATCTTTACTTTTAGGTAAACAATTTTTAGAATTTTCTAGAGATGTTGGTGGTGCCATGAGAACCAAATCAAGTCTCCCTAACTTTTTATATGCTGATCTACTACGCGTTAAGGGGGAGCATCTCACTATCTGTCAAATAACTTTACATCGCTAAGCCAGCACTAAGGGACAGGGCTTATTAACTATAGATAGGCACTGCTGTTCGACTTAGACATACACTAGTCTCACAGGCAAAAGCCAGCAACCATATAGATATGGAGTCCTGATAGAGCCCAGATCTTGAGCTGTGTTTGTCAACCTGGGTGCGCGCCCATCTAGGGGATGGAAGGGGGAGTCCAGAAATTGGGACACTTACTACATTTGTAGCCATAATAATATGTTATACTAACAGTTTTTCAGTGTTCCTTTGGGCCTTCTCTAACACCAGAGCAGAAAAGTCGAATTGCATCAACACAAAATAGTGTTTACCCTTCCATTGACATTTTGACAGTCTTGTGGATATTTTCTTCAGGCCATGCAGGTGTGTGTTTGGTAAAGGTTCAAATAAAGAGAGAGAGAGAGGGTGATGGGAGAGATAGAGAGACGGAGAGAGAGAGAGGGAGAGAAAGAGAGGGAGAAAGAGGGAAAGATAGACAGAGATTGAGAGAAAGAGGGAGGGAGACAAAGAGGGAGAAAGAGGGAAACATAGAGAGAGGGAGAGAGAGGGAAAGATAGAGAGAGGGAAAGAGAGAGAGAAAGGATGGGAGAGATAGAGCGAGGGAGAGACAGAGGGGGAGAGAGAGATGGAGAGAGAGAAAAAGGGAGAGAGAGGGAGAGAGAGGGAAAGATAGAGAGAGAGGGAGAGAAAGAGGGAGAGAAAGAGGGAAAGATAGAGAGAAATAGAGAGGGAAAGATAGAGAGAGAGGGAGAAAAAGAGAGAGGGAGAGAGAGAGAGGGAAAGATAGAGAGAAATAGAGAAGGAAAGATAGAGAGAGAGAGAGAAATAGAGAGAGAGATAGAGAGAGAAAGATAGAGAGAGAGGGGAACAGATTTAGTGAGAGAGAGGATAGATAGAGAGAGAGACTGATATTCTCTTAAACACTTCTATCTCTTGTGGGAGATGAAATGATCATATGTCTAATAGTAATTGGTAGTTTATTGTGCATGCTTTAGAGAAGTATTTCCCAGCCTTTTTCAAGTCACAGCCCTATTCTGTAGAGGCAAACTTAACTGCAGCCACCCATACATTGAGGCTTTTTGATAAGAGGGAAAGATAGAGAGAGAATAGGAACGATAGAGAGAGGGAGGGAAAGATAGAGAGAGAGATAAAGATAGAGAGAGAGAGGGGGAGAGAAGGAAAGATAGAGAGAGATAGAGAGACGGAGAGAGAGAAAGATAGAGAAAGAGAGGACAAGATTTAGGGAGGAAAGATAGAGAGAGAGACGGACAGAGAGAGAGAGAGAGAAAGATAGAGAGAGAGAGAGGGAGAGAAGGAAAGATAGAGAGAGATAGAAGCCAGTAAACAGTAGAGACAGACACCGGTCATCATGGTCTGTAGAGAATGGTACAACGGAGAGTGGCCAGTGGCCAGTGTCCAACATACAACACTACGAGGACAAGCACGACGGACTTATAAGCAGAAAACCACTGGTACCACCGAAATTGGCACCAAGTGCTTGCTGGCGAGGACATGGACAGACCATTTATGGGAGCGTCCCGAGTGCTGAGAGGTCAGGTTTTGAAACTCAGCCCAACTCAAATACAAGATAGTCGACTAGAGATGGATCACATAGTACAATCGACACAAAGCTGTTAAGTGTACTGACGAAAACTGAATCAAAGCAAGCAGGTAACTAAAAAGAGGGGGGGGGCGGGGGGGGGGGGCGGGTAACAAAGAAACAAATACTAACAAATATATGAAGGAGACATACAGAGAGAAAGAATGAGAACAAGAGGAAGAGAGGGGAAAGAATTATAGGGAAAAGAAACAAAACAGTCAAGAAAAGAAAAAAAAAAGATATAAAACCGAAGAAAAAGTATATTAACAAGCTTTACAATGTAACAAATACAAACAAAACGTGAACGTTGCGGTCATGGAGCCATCATCAGCACATACAAATCAAACAATACTATACAGAAACACAAATTCACTTAGCTGGTATCTCAAAGCAGCCGGGTCAGTGGTTTCTCAGCAGAATTGCAGACTAAAGAGAGAAAAGAGACAAGGAGACAAGACGAGAGAAAGGGAGAGAGAGAGAGAGAGAAAGAGAGAGAGAGAGAGGGGGGGGAGAGCTGTGTTTATGTGAAAGAAATACCTTGCGAGGTTCTCCACTGGGCACTATGCATGCCAGCCTCCAGACTTGTTTTGCCCACACTGGAGAAAGTCGGCGAGTAGGCTGTCAAAGGGAAACATGACACGTCAACTAGGGAAGAGAGAACTGACACGTCGACTAGGGAAGAGAGATATGACACGTAGACTAGTGAAGAGAGAGAGAGAGAGAAAGAGAGAGAGAGAGAGAGAGAGAGAGAGAGAGAGAGAGAGATGACACGTAGACTAATGAAGAGAGATATGACACGAAGACTAGTGAAGAGAGAGAAGAGAGAGATATGACAGATAAAGGACAAAGCGAGCATGGGAATGTCGCCAGCGCTGTGATGTCAATTCTGGACCTAACTCAAACTTATTAAGAGAGAACTGAAAGTGATACAATCTTTCAAAGAGATCACTGAATGGGACACAATCTTCTGAAGCGATGACTGAATGGGATAAATCGGAAGTATAAGTGTGATGTTTACATACGATGTAATCTGGTGTAGGTGTACGTGGGAGGTCTACCTACGATGTAATCTGGTGTAGGTATACGTGGGTGGTTAACCTACGATGTAATCTGCACCATCCCTATCTTTAGCAGCAAGAGCAGATTGCGGGTTCTGATCGTACACATGATGGTCTTAATATGTATGCATCTCATCTTTTCTCGGCCAGATGACTTGGTCACTCCTGGCAACACCATTCTCCTAAGCCCGTGAGGATCCTTCTATGTAGGTGGTTGATATGAGTATGGGAGACAACAACATCCTCAGTTAGAGATCGTCTTCCTCCACAATTGGTTAGTTCACTCTTCAAAACAGGAGCGGTGTAAGAAATGTCTCATAACCAATCAAATGTTAAATAACGGGCCAACAGCGACTTGTACACAATGTGGATGTTTCATACTGCTACTTTGTCTAGTTCTTTCCAGTGTTATGTTACACGAGCAGTCACTGCTGTCAGATCCCTCCCAGCGTCTATTTCTACTCTGTAATGTGCTCAAACTCGATAAACACCTACTTTATGACAGTAATGTATTCTGGAGTACACGAACTTCCATTCGCACTCAGTCCGCCGTAGAGCTTGTCTCTCAATGAGACACACGCAAGGGAAGTGCTCTCATAAAAAAGACTAACGGCAAGTGACTTGATGAGCTTCTTCAAGCCGTTGTTGCTGTGTTTACAGCTTGTGTCAACATACTTTGTTACCGCCACAACATTCCGTGTTATCTGTAATAGTTCCTCAGTCGGACCAAGACAAGATAACGTCCTAAATGACTTGATAGTGTTGTGTTTCCCTGTCTGGATGGCTATCGTCTATGGGTGCAGACACCAGACAGGTGATAACCCGTATGTGTTGGGTGAATAGTGAACGAACACAGTTTGTTTTTCAAAGTGTCCAGCGAAATGATTTAGCTCACACGACCACGACAAAGAAGGTAGTGGACAGGACACAAAAGCAGACTTAAATGGTAGTGTGAGATGACGAAGCGTGGTTATTTACTCTTACTGGCACGAACATGATGATGATGATAACGATCAAAGGAAAGGAAACACAACTCGTTAAAATGATACATACTTTTTGAGACAGTCGGGGTCGCTCCAGAGAAAGCCAGTTTTGGAAAGGTGGCATCTGTTGATGGATAACATATTGTTTTATTTTCTGACTTTAGTTTTCAAGTGAGAGGCAAATATATACAGTTGTAAACAATACGACAACTGAAAGCCGCATTTTTAATATCTGCTTTCTTCGGAGACTTTTGTTTAGGCTATGCATCGTGTAGAGTCCGTTTGTATACGCGTCCCTAGAACCACTTCGTATCTTGTCTTTAGCTGGTAGAGTACAGGGCTGACCACCGCTTCTTTGCCCCTACATTATTTGATTAAACTCAGTATTGCCCTAGGGGTCGACTCAACCTCAGAAATGTCTGCAATCGATGTTGTTAATAATTTTCTGAGAACTCTCTTGGAAAGCTGAAGAGAGAGAACTCTAGCCACACCACCCCAACGGGTTGTGCCCTTGTCTATCTGACAATCAGTTGGTCACATCAAAGAGGCAAGACGTGCCATGAGGCTACCCTTACTGAAATGTTATTTACATTTGATAATGTTACAGTTAGCATTTAGCATTTCTCAACACGTGCCATGAGGCTACCCTTACTGAAATGTTATTTACATTTGATAATGTTACAGTTAGCGTTTAGCATTTCCATGGAACTGTTTTGACTAGACACTTTTAACCACATGTAAGAATGGATGGGTGACCTCCTGACAAATTTGAAATTTGTTGATGTAATTAACCCTATGGATCATCATCATCATCATCATGTAGCAGGTCTTTTGCAGAACGTCGCTCTCATCACAGTCTCCCTGAAAGAAACTCGGCCTCTTGCCAGTTCTCCCGCCTCATGTACTTTCAAACTCAAAGAGTCATTTATATCCTGTGCCCATCTTATTGTCGGTCGGCCCCTGCCCCTCCTTCCTGGTACCATGCCTTCTGCTATAAATTTTTTCAATCCCTCGTGGCGCTTGATATGGCCAAAATATTTCAGCTTCCGAGACAGGATGCTGTTTATTAGCCAATCTTTCTTGATGTTCAGATCTTTCAAGATGTCAATATTTCTCCTCTTCTTGGTCCAAGATATTCTGAGAATCTTTCTATAATATTTCAGCTCAAAAGCCCCTATTCTCTTTCTTGAGAGATAGTCCACGACTCACATCCGTATGTTGCAACAGGGAAGATGCAAGCTCTCAAAATTCTAATTTTTATCTCCTTGCTGGTGCTTAACCATAGACTTTTAAGGCTGTTAAATCTTTGCATTTCTATGGCCATCCTCCTTTTAATTCCCGTCGAACAGTCTCCATTGCTGTTTATTATAGAGTCTAGTTATTCACAGTTTGTGACATACCTTATAGGTAAACAAGCACAATCCCACTTGGTCTCTACAACACTGCCCAGGCTTTGTAGTGTGGAGAAAATGTCTTTTTTTTTTTTTTTTTTTAAACGTATCCAGAAACCATGAGTTGTAAACCCTTTGGCTCGGTACTATGGATATCGCAACCCTTCGGCATTGATTCCATTATAGGTACCGTTAATCTGGGAGAAATGTGGCTTTTCTGCCTACCCCCGGGAGTGAACCCGGACCACAAGGAGTTCGTCACCCGGCCGCCGCGACAGTCAGGTTTAACCAACTTCGCTAGAGAGCCGGGCATGTCTTATAACACACTATAACATTATCGTCTAGAAAGACGGAAAGGTGCCAACATAGATTGAAGATGTCCCAATTCCAAGTCCTTTTGAGAAAAAAATTAAAAGGTCGACAACTTTCAGACTGCTGCTAGCTAGCCGAGGCTGCCAACAGTCTCCGCCTATATTTGTGGTTTGGATTATTTACGTCACTTTCGTGACTAAATTCTAGTGTTTGCGCCATTTCTGGCCCTAATGCTTCAAGATCAGAGAACGTTTTAAAGAAAGAACATTAGAGGGAAAACATCCCAGACATTATTATAGAACTGGCAAAACAAATTAAACGTTTTGCAGATCAAATTCACCTTTCGCAAATCAAATTCTTCCTTTAGGAAATTAAATTTAGCCTTTTACTTTCCAATCCTGTTCAAAATTATCACAGTTTATACCATACGAGGGCATAAGAGTGCATGGGCATTTACAGCTCGCTCTTCATGCAGAACAGTTAAGGAAGCCAGCGGTGCCTTCTTCATGACCACCGGCAGAATGACGATGGAGGTGATAGCGGTGACACAGGCTTTCATGTGGCTGGGATCACAGGACTATTTCCGCGTGTGTGTGCTGAGTGATTCTTTGAGCATGATCCGGCGGGTCGAGGCAGGCTGGTTACGCAGACAGTGGTTCGAGTCGTTGCAAAATTCTCTTGTGTCTGCAGCTACTATCATTTTCGTCCCAGGCGTTGTTGGTAATGAGAGAGCCGATAGACTGGCAGGTACTGCATTAATTGAAGATGACCGGCCCATGGATCACGCATTGTCATTGCCCTGAAAGAGATAGGACGTTCTGGCGATTTTGGAAGCAACGTGTCCACATCACTGCTAAGAATACGCGAATTGGAAGTAAAGATCGCCACACCCAAGCATGAGAAGCACACCTGACGCACACGAAGTCTTGTTAACCAACACTGGACTGGTACTAATAACCGGAAGACGCTGATGAATATGTTAAGAGGGAAATCTGAGCGTCTATGTATGTGACCGGAGTGCTGTGAAGATTAACTAACTCATAACTCATAACTAAAATGGTCGTGCCTTTATATAACGTGAATAACATATGAGCTTTTTAATTACAGAACAGTTGAATGAAGTGACAGTATCAGACAAGCTACCAGCATCATCCAAGTGTTTACTCCTGGCACTTATTAATAAAGGCTACATAGCACTTGCATGGATGTATTAAGACGAGTGAAGAATCAGCATCATAGAACTCGGGGCACTCGTCCACATCTTAAACAGTCTGTGAAAGACGAGTGGAGAATCAACATCATTGAACTCTAGGGCACTCGTCCACATCTTAAACAGTCTGTGAAAGACGAGTGGAGAATCAACATCATTGAACTCTAGGGCACTCGTCCACATCTTAAACAGCCCGTGAAAGACGAGTGGAGAATCAACATCATAGAACTCGGGGCACTCGTCCACATCTTAAACAGCCCGTGAAAGACGAGTGGAGAATCAACATCATTGAACTCTAGGGCACTCGTCCACATCTTAAACAGCCCGCGAAAGACTAGTGGAGAATCAATATCATTGAACTCTAGGGCACTCGTCCACATCTTAAACAGCCCGTGAAGAGTTCCAGCTCCGATGACATCAGCAACAGTCTGATTGTATATCCGTCTCGCCTTTCCTCTGAGTGTCAATCCCCTGGTCAATATTCTCTACACCATTCTCTTCAGACCATGACGGAATATTTGGGTCTCCTCACTGTTCACTGGCTCCCAAAGGATCCCTACAATATCTAGCTTGTCATGCATAAGTTTACCACCAAGTGTTGCAGCGCCAGTCAGTATGTCTGCCCATTTCTTTCCCGACACACCCACATTTCCTGGAAGAAATGTCCAAATGAGGCTAACCATATGAGACCTCCGCAGCGATGCTTGCCACTCTGCTCGGAGCCTACTTCATCTCCACCTTTTTTTCAAAACACTCTGTGAGTCTCTGTTTCAAATTGGTTCTCAGGCCAGCGAAAAACTGCCGTGACTGCCTTCTCCTTCATTCTCAAATGAGATGTTGTGATGCCAGGCTTTGTTGCACTAAGCGATGCCCATTCACTTTCGCTTTGAACCGCCAAACAATTCTTCTGCCTCCCAACAGAGAGTTATCTCACTAGGCGCTACACTGACGTCAGCGAATCCGTGGTACACGTCACTAACGGAAAATGTAATCCACACCAGTGTTGCCACTTTGGATGTTTTACATCCAGATTTAGATGTCTTCCCTTGCGTTTAGATGGCTTTTTTGACGTTTAGATGGTAGACGTCTTTCTATATGTTTTTATTTGGCGTGACTTCATCAAATCTAACCTAAGAAACAGGATGAAATTTGACTGCTTAAATGCTATCTTGACAATAAAATTCGGCCTGATAAGAGTAGAAAAAAGGCTGTTCCACTTATCAGCTCCCTTATTGTATATTAAAAGAAACTGGAACAGCTAAAGCATACCAGAGTCATTCTGGATCTGAAGCTTCAACTTCATCATTTAAGCTAAGTTTATCCTGTGGATCTTGTGAGACAGACATCAGTGAAGATGGTGACATAATTCTATAGGGTAAGTTATATCAATAGCTATGTAATTTGTTGACTCTTTCCATTTGGATGTTTTGTCTAGATGTTTTTCACCCAAATTTTGATGTTTTTAGATATTTTTTGACTGTTCTGGATGTTTTTTGTCAAAGAAAAGTGGCAACACTGATCCACACACTCATACACAGATAGGCACTAGAACAAGTACCTGGTCACCCGTTAGAATCTGACACACATATGGACACTGATGTACTCGCTAAGTCTATGTGACCAACTGCCCCAGTCAGACAGATGGAAGCAGACAGATGGAAGCAGACAGATGGAAGCAGACAGATGGAAGCAGACAGATGGAAGCAGACAGATGGAAGCAGACAGATGGAAGCAGACAGATGGAAGCAGACAGATGGAAGCAGACAGATGGAAGCAGACAAATGAGTGACACACTTACCTTGGGCTTGTGAGTTTGGCTGGGGGGACCATGCATTCTTGCTGTACCCGGGATCTGCAAGACACGGAACACAACCACCATGTTTGTCATCACAATAATAGGGCTTATTACGCAAGGTTAATTACATCGTACAAACCAGTATTACATCTGCTGCTAATGATGACGACGATTATAAGAATGTTGACGATAATAATGATAATAATAAAAATAATAATAATAATGAGCTGGTACATGAACTAATCACGTAGTTAGCTAAACCTGACTTTGCGACGACCGGGTGACAAACTCCTTGTGGTCCGGGTTCACTCCCGGGGGTAGGCAGAAAAGCCACATTTCTCCCAGATTTACTGTACCTATCATGGAATCAAGACCGAAGGGTTGCGATATCCATAGTGCCGAGCCAAAGGGTTAACAACTCATGGTTTCTTGATATTAAAAAATAAACGAGCTTTGAGGTTATGATACCCAATTGAAAATCCACACACGTTTTCGTCTTGAAGTTAAGAGCATGTGAATTTAAACTGCAGACAACAGTCATATTTTGACAGTCCAGTAGGAAATAGTCGAGGTATCAATTTGTTTCGTATATGGTAGGTGACATAAACAACTGATTCAGTGTCGTCAGGTCCGTTGCAAGATGCAAAGAACGATAGCCAGCTAACGTAGAACTAGCGTAGACTATGGTACGTTTCAAAATTCGTGCTTTCACACTTTAACAAATATCTCGAAAACTTCTGTAGGGATCAAACCGCATTTCTACATTTGGTCTTAAATTTACCACGTCCTTTGGATTTTATAGTTTACAGTTGCACAGGTGCTGATGTTGACATAAATGGCGATTTTGTTGTATCTTTTTTTGCCTAATAATTTACGTACCCCAGAAAAAAAAAAAAAAAAAGATAAAACAGTAAATTACATGCGGTGTATATTGTTTTCAAACCAATTCACATGTAAAGCGAGACATGGTGTTTATTTTGAAAGCCTATCGCGCTTGCAATGAAAAATGTTATTATTGTGGCTCAGATGAGGCCAGTTTTGTAGGTGACCGCCTGAGAATGAAACGCCTATGAAACATGGACAATTTGATGTTATTCTATTGACTGTGAGCATGCCGACTTTTAATTGGTGTCTGCTTTATTTCCCTATACCCAGGGAACGAGGACTGCAAACAAATAAGACAGTAAAACGGATGTACACGCAAAACTCAGGTCAAGGTAAAAGCCAAAAGTCCATTTGGACGAACAACCGCGACTTACCGCCGGAATTCACAGCCGGTGAACAAGAAGAAGAAGAAGAAGCAAATTTCCCTATTCCGCAAAAAAAAAAAAAAAGAAAAAAAGTCAAAAACGAAAATAGATACTGGTTAACATTAAACAAAAAGTTCTGGCACGGACGATATTTTAACAATTTGCAGGTCAAATGTTAACAGTCAACTTCTCGCAGCGAGCGGTTACCGGGCTACAGTTTTGTGCAGTTGGGCATCACTTCTAGAAAGGACTTTTGATGTCGTTGTGAACACGATACGCTTTTTGTTTCAACAGACCTTCAGTATCGCTTGAAACGTTTGCTAAAGGACCCTTTTCCACGCCTTTAGGCGTATAGGGCATATAGGGCTAGACCTATATTTTATATACGAACGGCACAAGATGGGTGATGTGGTCAGCATCCCGCCAACCGCCTTTCCTTCCCGGGACTACACCAGGTACCGACTCAAGGCTGGGTCGACCCGGGAGCCAAGGACATTTTTGAAGAAAAGTTTGGCTCCGCCACGGTGAGAACCCACGACCTTCCGATCCGCGGCGCGCGTCTAGCCGCTTTGCCACAGCGACTCCCATGCTATCATTAAGCTGGCGGTCGGTGGCCAGATGTATCTTAGTATCTCAGTCTGTAATGTTAACAGTTGGGCTCAGTTGTTTCTTAATATTATGAATTAATCAAGTAACAGAAAGAGCACTCATAAAAAGAAGTAGAAAGATAGAAGAACACACTAGACAACAAAACATCGAAACTTGTAGTTACCGTGCCGGGAATTGAACCTGTCACCTCCAGACGGCGTGTGCGCCTCGCAATGGATTCAAGTGCACTAAGAACATGGTCAACTAGGCAAACCCCCCCCCCCCCCCCCGCAAAAAAAAGGTGTCTTATTGGTCATGTCTATAGTACAGCTTTAAATCCACAACTATGGAATACGGACAGAATTCATTTCAAACCATTTAAATGGCACCATAGGTTACAGAAGTTTATTTTAACGAAGCATGTGTCGAATAACTATGACAGCAAATTACGAACACAGTAGACCTTAATGCCTTGTCTTGGTTCTGCATAGTTTCCCCATTTATCTTTTTCAATAAAAAAAAAATGAATTAAAGAATTACAGAACACGAGTTATATCAAAAGGTGAACCGTGTTCCACATAATGTTGAATTACGAATCGACATCACAGCACTAGGGAAATTCCCAGATGCGCTCAGTCCCCACCTTCAGTAGCAAGCGCAGAGTTCCGATTCAGATGGCACTACTAACAGGCTGACTGTGTATCCGTCTTGCTCCTGTCTTAAAGCGTTTAGGATTCCATCGGAAAGTGTCGTGAAATTCAGATAGAATTGATTCCGGTATCAGACTGGCTGTAAACACGCCGTCCTGTTGCTAGCCCACATTCTTGTTTACCATATACACACTTAACTCCATATGAGGCATTCTCAAATATGTTATTTTGTCTAAAATTATATCCCTCAGCTAGCGTTCGATCGTAAATGAAGAGGAAAAATAGCACAAGCATCGATTGAAACAGAACTAACTTGCCTCCTAACAGTCTGCTGCAAGTATTAGGGTTTTCCAACACGTGCTCTAGCGTGATCACTAACCTACATCATTCACTGCATCACTCACACAAACTTCCCTCACCGAGATGCTATTCACCTCTCACACCCTCATTTCTGGAAATAAACATCATGCACGTTCTGCTAGGTTCACCCCCCCCCCCTCCTAACCCCTAACCCCTCACCCCTTTTCCACCACCAGCTTTCCTAGAAGATGGCAAAGCGTCCCTGATTCTAAGCACGGAACCCTTTCAAATCGACACAGCCTGAAAACGGAAACAGGAAGTCGGAAGTTGCGGGCGTCATGGCAACGCAATCATCAGAGGTGAGTTGGTCGATGATAAAGTGCAGAAATATGTTTGACTGATCTGGTGTTTTCTTCATGAACCGGTTAAGGCTGTCTGTCCCTTGCTGGCAATGTTGTCTCCTGATGTTATTGCTTGTTCTCATTGTGAATTCAACATTATTTTGGACGATAACTAATTTGTGTGTATATGCATGTGGGTGTGTCCGGGTGTGAGTGGGCGAACAGTCGCGCGCGCTATGTGAATCATTATGCGTGTGTGTACGTGTGCGTGTGTGTAATCTAAAATCGCATCTCCACGAACCACTCAGTGACACTATATCATGTTATTTGTTTTTACCCACTTATTTTTATGGGTGAGGGGGGGGGCGGGGACGGGTATTGGGGGGGGGGGTATGAGTGTGGGGGGATATGGGGGGGGGGGGGGGTCTCAGTTACAACCTGGTTAAGCTGCTTTCTCCGCGTACTCTTGTTATTTTTTTTTTATGTCTGAGAATAAACTACTAATTGTGAAACTCCAGATGTAAAGATGTATGAATTAATAATAAAAATAGTTTGGAAGACGGAGAAATTACCCCATGAGTGGAAAGTGTATGTGTTAAAACAAATTTTTAAGAAAGTAGACAAGTATAAATGTGAAAATTATAGAGGGATATAACTGTTCTCTACAAGCTACAAGATACTATCTGCGGTACTGCTAAACAGGCTAAAACCACACGTCAAAGACATATTGGGCGATTAACATGCGGGTTTACGTCAGAATACATAAAAAAATAAATCAGATTATCATTTTACGGTAAATAGCAGAGCAAAATTTAGAATATGGAAGATTTACATAATGTTTTTGTGGATTTTAAAAAGGCGTGTGCTAGTCTACATAGCAACAGTTTATGGAATGCTATGAAAGACTGAAATACCGAAGAAGTTAATTACCATTACCAAACTATATACGGAAGACACTTGTAATATAGTAATATATAAAGGCAGAAAGTCAGACCCTTTCAAACAACATCTGGTTTAAAGGAAGGTGATGCTCTGTCTCCACTTCTCTTCAACTTGGCCCTGGAGAGAATTATAAGGAAATTGAAACAAGAGTGTACTATAGGGGAAACTACAAGAATACGTGGATATGCCGATGACATTGATATTGTTGGAGAAAATGAACTAGAGACTGTTGAAACACTGGTTTTCTTAAAAGAATCAGCTCAGAAAATGGGAGTAGTTATGAATCAAGATAAGACTTGATCAAATAAGAAAAGATAATTATTATCATATTACATGAAAATAACTAGACAGGGAAAGGATATAAACACTGGCCACATACAAATCGATAACATGAAAATCGAACGAACAAAAACATATAAGTAATTGGGTGCTAACTTCAACTGCTCCAACATGCTGAGAGAAAAAATACAATCTAGAATTCAATCTGGAAATAAGTAAACTATGCCCTTCAACATCTGATAAAGTCAAAGTGTCTGTTTCGCAACACCAAGATAAAAATATATTAAACGTTGAAAGACCAGTCGTGTTATATGGCTCTGAAACTTGAAGCAGAAATAAAAAAGATGAGGCCTTATTACAGCTTTTGAAAACAGTCTTACGACGATTCTTTAGACCCATCATAGATGCAAACAGCGGGGAATGGAGAGTGAAAAGCAACAACGAAATTAATAATCTGTTTAAATCACCATTGATCAGTGGCATTATGAGAGCCAATAGACTAAAATGGCTTGGAAATATTGAGAGAAAGTCAGATGACAGAGAGGTAAATAAAGGTGTACACAAGGGAGTCGAATGGTCTAGTTTCTTATCATCAGTATCAATCGATAAGAAACTAGTCGCTTTCGAGAATAGATGCCTCCGAAAGCTATTGAATGTTCACTGGTCGGACTTTAGGTCCAATACATCTATAAGACAGGAAACAAAAC